CTCTCTTCTCTCTCTCCTCTCTCTCCTCTCTCTTCTCCTCTTCTCTCTCTCTTCTCTCTCTCTTCTCTCTCTCTCTCTCTCTCTCTCTCTCTCTCTCTCTCTCTCTCTCTCTCTCTCTCTCTGTGTGTGTGTGTTATAACTCTAAGCCAGGCAGTGGTGGCACATGCCTTTAATCCCAGCACTTGGGAGGCAGAGGCAGGCGGATTTCTGAGTTCGAGGCCAGCCTGGTCTACAGAGTGAGTTTCAGGACAACCAGGGCTATACAGAGAAACCCTGTCTCGAAAAACAAACAAAAAAAAGGAGGAAGGAAGGAAGGAAGGAAGGAAGGAAGGAAGGAAGGAAGGAAGGAAGGGGAAAAAGAAGCAGTAGCCAATGGGAGCAAATCTGCACAAATGGGAAACTCCCCTACCCTTGTAGGATAATAAACGAGGGAGCAGGATACTCACTCAGAAACCCACTGTTATGGTCTTATTGATGTCTAGTGGACAACTCACATTTGTAAGCCCCGAGTCCCAATGTGATGGTATTTCAATGACAGGGTCTAACTAAAGTAACTAAAGGAAGATTATAAGGGTGGGGTCCTGTGGGGCAAGTGGACCGTGCCACCAGACAGATGACCTGGTAAGGTTGAATCAGGTTCAAAAAAGAATTTTCATAATTGAGAACGGTAGGCATCGGAATCAGCTCCCAGCCAGGTTCTACCTGCCCTGGAACACGTAACCAGGACACCCCATTAAGAAGACCACAACAACTGGTCCCGTAGCATAACCACCACCACCCATGCCCCTCCCCCTAGAGGTCTCCATGCTAATGAGCCACAAGTGTTTAGCCAATGCGCTTTCATTCCTGGACGTCCCTTCCTGCAAAAGATGTTTAGTCCCTGGTTCACCCTGAGAAAGAGTCTTCATTCACATCCACCATGAAGAAAGGACAAGCAAGGACCATCTCCTTCATCAAGGATTGCCTCGGGGGAAGCCTTCCTTGTAAAGAGCCATGACAAAATCTCCCAGAGAAGGCCTCTCCTCCAGCGCCTTGGTACTTTCAGCATTTACTCAGAACCAAACCGGATTCTGCCCCACCCTGGGCTCAGCTGTCCTCTTCCTGCCTGGTGCACAGGGGAAGCGCGGACCCACAGATCACGGTTTTCAACTCCCCGAAGTCTCCAGCAAAGACTAGATCCACAGGAGATTGAGAACTACTGCATCCGTGCTAGCCCCTGCTATTTCTCACCCGAGGAAACACAGGCTGGAACCCCCTATCTTGGACTGCGTTCTGTCTTCCCTGAGGGATATCCCAGTGGTGAGGCAGACACACAGCCAGATAGAGCCCTGATCTAACAACAACATGTATTAGAGACACAGAGGACATAAGTGCACAGAGAAGAGACCCTGTGAGGACACAGAGAGCAGCCATGGCATACCCCTAAAGGAAACCTCAAGAGAAGCCAAATCTGCTCACGCCCCCATGTTGG